ATGTGTTCTGCTTTTTTTTTTTTTTTTTTTCCCTTTTCCTCTTTATATGTAACAAATGCAGAAGGGGAGGAGGAGACAGCGAGGAAGTATTCGCTCAAAACCCAGCACAGTCACAGGACCACGTCTGGCTGCCAGACAGCCTTGTCCTGGGGCTGGAGAGGGAGCTGCCAGCAGCCCCTGGCCCAACGCAGGTACCGGGGAGGATAGACCCAGCTCCCACAGCCAGCAGCACCCACACAGCCCAGCTGGGAGCATCAGGTCCCCCTTTTTGTGGCAGAGGGTGAAAAACTGGAAAGGAGGCAGAACCACAAAAATGATTCAAGGCCTGGAAAAAATGCCTTGCAGCTGGAGCCCAAAATAGCTCCATCTATTCAGCCTGTCAAAGTGGTCGTGAAACGCTGCGGTGGCAGCCAGCACGGATCCCCCGTGCGGGACCTGGGGCTGGAGCAGGGGGCTCTGCTCTGGCCAAGCACACAAGGGGATGCCTGGTGTTAACGGTGGAGGGCATCAACCACCAAATCTTGTCCTGAAGATAAGGTTCTACTCTTTGAGCCACTTCAGGCTGCCTTCACTGAAAAAACCTCACCAGCAGTGCCAGGGTGCTTAGGTGCAGGTGGGGAAGAGTCCTCAGTGCCCTGAGCGCCACACAGTGCAGACAAAGCCTCTGCTGTCCCCCCCTGGGTTGCTTTCACTGCTCCACCCTTTAGAAATTCAGTGTTTGGTGCTTTATAGATGAAACTCTTGCAGGCTTGCAAGGGAAAATCCCTCCCCATGGGAACCCTCCTCCCTGGAACAGCTCAACCTGACCATCAAAAGGGGCATTGCGGAGGATGCACCAGAAAGCATCAGCCCTGCTGAGAGACCCAACAGTGGGGAGCTGGGAGCCCTTCCCCTGCCACGAGCCAGAGACAAGCAGGACCTTGGCCACCACCAGCCAGGACCTCAGCCCACCCACTGCTTCGCTGGATGCAGCATTCATGCTTATCTATTCACTGATACCTAATCTCTACTCCGCCCTGCCCGGGGCACCCCCCGCCTCCCTTATCAGTGACTTTAACAGCAAATAAACTCGCTCCCATTGCAAGGAGAGGCAGCCGGGATGGGGCACTGGGTAACTGGTGCTCCCAGTGTGGAACAGGGACAGGTCTCCAGGTGCGCCTGTCCCTGAAGCAGGGCTGGGCACCCCCTGGGGCGCAGGTCTGGCCTCAGCTCCTCCTAAAAGGGCTCGCTCCATCTCCTCTGTGACCATTAGGACTGGGATAACTAGGAGACCTGTTCAGAAGCTCACTCCCGACCTGCACAGACGTGCTACCACAGACAGGCACAGTGCAAACACTGCTCCTTTTTCCTCTTCTTTTCCTCAAAGTGCTAGAAATGCTGGGAAAAAGAAGAAAGCAAAGCTGCCTCTGAGCTGGGCTCAGGAGCTGTGCCGATTGGGAGGAAAAGGAGCAGAGATGTGTTCAAAGCCAGAGCTGTGACCTGCACGGACAGGTGCCTGATGCCAGCACTGATTCCAACACATGGCCACATCCTGCTCATGCCAAGCATTAGTGGGACCTACACAAATGCTTTGGAGGTTTCTGTGGAGCCAGAATATTTTCCATGCTGGATGGAGCTGCAGAGGAGCCCTGTGGGTACACAGCACGTTGCCAAAATCCAAAGCCTCATGGTCACCTTCCTCAGCCACATGGCCATCCCTAGTGCTCTCCACCCTGCTGCTCCTCCCAAGCTTCACCCTGGCACAAAGCCCCTTCTTTCTTGGTGTCACCTATCACTCAGTGCCACTCAGCTCCCCCCTTGTGGCACACAGGGTCTTAGGACCATCAGGTCCCAGACAGAAGCATTGACCCCAGATGATGTCAGCCAAAGCTTCCTGACTCAAACCCAGCCTCAGGCTGCAGGCAGACCCAGAGAGCCCTGTTTCAGACAGGCACAGGATCATGTATGCAGAGGGAAATCCTTTGGGCAGAGAAAGAGAAGAAAAATAAGTTAAAACCCAACAGAGTACCAAGGGAGAGCATTAGTGAGAGCAGGGCAGGGACAAAGCAATGCCCATGAGTGCAGGGCTCTCATCAACCAGCATCCCAAATGGCAGCTCTGGAGAGGGTCATGCCCACTTGTAACTGATAACAGCTTCAGATTTTGGAGCAAGTTGCATGTAGCACACATGACTTTTAACACCAAATAACCCCAAAATATGCCCTTTTCTCCTACCCACTAGCTGGGTCTCAGGAGGCCACAGGAGGGGCTGAAGCAGAATCCTCCTCTCAAGTCCTCCAAACCCCTTAGCTGGATGAGCACAGCAGAGCCTAGCACTTGCATAACCACCTGTCCAAGAATCCAACTGGCAGCTTTACTGAGCTTGGGGGACACAAACCAGGACCTCCTCCCCAAGCCACCTCTGGCCCAGCTGCCCCCAGACCCCAGCACAGGGCAGGACTCAAAACACTTTCCTTGGTGTTGGGGCCACCAAGGTGGGGTTGGATGGTGACACATGGAGTGTCCTCCATGCTGAGGGGAACAGCACAGTAAAGACAGGGGTGGGTGCCAGGCACGTGAGTGGAGAGGGAAGAGGGGTTTGCAGAAGGGTGAGGGGTGGAAAATTACACAAACATCACCTTAGCTACTACCCAAGATCATCCCCATCCCACCTTGTCTCTCCTTGGGTGCCTCCAGGCCCTGGTTGCCGTGAGAGGACAGACCTGCCCACCCCATACACCCTCTCCTGCTCACCACTGAGTGCCTCCCGTGCACCCACAGCAACCATGGGTGGCACAGGGAGCGAGTCTGAGTCCTGTGGTGCTGGGTGGCAGCATCTCCCCCACCTCCACCCAGCAGGGATGGGGGATGCCTATGCAAGGGGAAGCAGCACCCAGGTACCACATCCCCAGCAACTGGGGCAGGACACCAGGAACACAGGGGGGGATGCTGGTCACGCCCCCCTCTGCGACCCCAAGATGTGGTGGCAGTTTTGCTGGGATCCCAGGCAGTGAGGACAGCCCTCTCTGGCATCCTCCCCTGACAAGCATCTGCACAGGGCTGGGAGCTGCAGCCGCTCTGGCTCCTGAAATGCCTCCTTAGGAAAGCAGCCTGTAATTTGAGGAGGGGGCACCAGCGCCCTGCGGCCCGGCTGAATGGAGCCATTATGCGGCCCCTCTCACTTGCAGCACATGTTTTCCTTGTGGACTCATCTGACCTCACAGGCGAGATGTAAAGGTACATTTACGGCCTGGGCCCCCCATCCGGGGCCGAGATCGTGCTCTCCTAGCTGGGCGGGAGAGGCTGCAGCTGCTCTGCCCTCTTGATAGAGCCAGCCTGGCCCAGGAGCCTGGGCAGCATCAAGGCGGAGCGTGGTGATGCTCTGCCAAACAGCTGGGATGCCGGAGAGCACCGGAGAGGGGACAAGGCAGTGCCAGTTCCCAGGGCCCTGCCCCTGGCCAAGCAGGCAGGATGTGACCCCCGAGGACAGCCAGGCAGTGCCAGCACCCACCTTCTGAAGCCAAATACAAAGGTTCTGGAGCTGCCAACTCCACCGTCCCGAGCAGCCCAAGGCAGCTCCATCAGGACACCCAGAGCATCTCTCATCCTGCCAGCCCAGGCTCGGCAGTGGGACCGGCCCCGGGAACACAGGACCGTCACCCTCCCCCATCAACGCGAGCCCCGGTGGGACCCACGACCGGCTCCCCACAGCCGGACCGG